AATGTGCTATTTGTCCGGATATTAGACCCAGAACGGGTTATTTTCAGGATTTAGCAGATGTGAGGCAATGACACAGGTCATATTCCCAGCTAGACTTGGCAACCCTTGAGTAATAGAAGACAAAACTTGTTAACCTTGACTAGGCTAGAATACACCCCTATATTTTATTTCCCTCACTAGCACATAAGCAGGAACAACTTCTGTTGTCTTCTTAAGCGAATGACTATATCTAATTCTAAAGGTAAAAAACCAAAGTAGTAGGTTATATTTAACTACTGTGTTATGTATAAACTGCCCCTTCAGGGACTTTATAGACAGAGGGGACATCTGACATGATGAAGGTGCTTATGCTAGACAGAAAGACATTATACTCATAATTTTATGCAGTCCCTTTGATACTGTTAAATAACCTGGTTTTTATTTAACAGAAAAGGAACCAAGAGGAGACTAGATGATATAGGCATGCCATTTATACAGCTTTGCCAGGAAGCTGCAGTTAGCATTCTCCAATTCTGTTCCCCCAGATCAATGGAAAACTAGACGAGACAGTTTAGACCCATGCCCAGTAAGGTCTGGGTGACATAGAAAGATGCTTATCTGCCAATCACACCTGAGAGCAAGTCAGTGGCTAGAATAGGTGTGGCCACTGAATGGGTGCAGGCTGAGCTGAGGGACACCCCTCACTATAGGGACACTAGTCCTATATAATAAAAGCCTAATATGCAAATTGTTCGGCCAGGAGTTCAACTGAGAGTTCGGAATAAAAGCCTAATATGCAAATTGTTCGGCCAGGAGTTCGACTGAGAGTTCCGCCGCTTGCTATTACATGTGCTGACCACCAGGGGGTGGTGAGGAACCTGGCTTGTATTGGTGACATGGCGCTAGCAGCAGGTGGCCCACTCCCAACCTATCACCCCACAGACAGCAACCAGCGGTGCTGAGGGAGCTTGGAAGGGGGCCTGGCCCCAATCGAATTGCCTCACAGGCAGGATGGTGGAACAAGTGAGGGGGTGGTGCCATTTATGGGTTAAATATCAAGAATCAGTGCTGTGAGCCTGGGGGCATGAGCTGGAGCCCATTCCCCACAGGCCACCTCGAGGGACCCCACCCATGCATGAATTCGCACACCAGGCCTCTAGTAGAGAAATAACACATACTTTTAAAGTAATTTTATGATAGTAATGATGAATATGATATTATTTATCATTTTGTATCTTGGTTGCCAGGTACTCAGCTAGCTGCTTTTATCTGTAACTCTTACAACAACTCTTCAGGGAAGTTGCTTGAAAGAAGAAAGAGGTTTAGTAGTTACCCAAGATCACATAGCTATGGCATTCTTGAACTAGGATCATAATCCAGTGTTTTATACTTTTCTACTCATGATCTTTCAGCACATGATATTATCTTATCTTATGGACATTCTTTTTCCTCAATATTATACTTTTAAATCTAGACACCATCATTTTGATGGAAACTAAAAGAGCCTTGCTTTCAGTTAATAAATTATAGATTGGCATGTAAACCAAAATATATGACATTGGAGATGCATAGTTAATTCTATATGTTGAAAGCTCATTGAATTTTTTTCCACCTAATAAGATTTAATCTTTTATTTTAAAGCAATTTTATAAAGCATCTTGATACTTAAAATATTTAATCTCTAAGTGGTGACATTTGTTATTAAGAATGTCCAGACTGACATGTGAGCACCAACTTTTGACATCATTTTGTGAATCTAATTTTACAGAAAGCCCTTATTATTCTTTGATTTGTACTTTTACTATCAGTGTATTCATCAAGTCACATTATTTCCCAACAGAGTATTATATATACTTTATTGATTTCAAAGAGGAAGGGATAGGGAGAGATAAGAACCTCAATGAAGAGAGGAAATCATCCATCAGCTGCCTCCTGCACATCCCCTATTGTGGATCAAGCCCACAATACAATCATATGCCACGACTGGGAATTGAACTGTGACCTCCTGATTTGTAAGTCAGTGCTCAACCACTGAGCCACACCAGCTGGCCCCAACAGAGTATTTTAAATTTGGTATCTGTAGTAATAGATTTACATGCAATTTTAACTCATTTCTTTCAGCCTGGCAGCTAAAAACAAAATAATAAGAGTTTAGAGATAGAAAGTATTTATTAGGAGTCCTGTCTGAATAAGATGAATAATTATAAAAAGATGTAATTTTATAATGAAATGAATTAAGTCTGACGATGGAGTTCTCCTTTTTCTCACTTGAGACATCTCATCAAAGCAGTGTAACCTTCAATAGCCAACAAAGGGCTATTGCTAAACTCAATGATCTCTTTTATTTCTTATGATCCCAACTTTACCCTTCAAGGGAACTAGTCTTGCTAATATGTAAAATTTTGGGGAAATGAAAACAAGAAAGTAAAACTGAATATGGATATTATTTAAGAAAAAAAAGGGGTGGGGGGAAATAGCCTCACTTATGCTGGAAGCCTATGATACAAAACCTAGATTTAACACCTAGCCTAATTGCAATTTCAAACTTCTCCAGAAATGCAACATTAATCAACCAGTTGGCATTTTCTGGTCAATACTAATTAGGTCTTATGGGTCCTATCCATTCCCCACAGAAAGAAGAAGCAATCTGCATGATATAAACTTTGCTTGTCTCTTCACCTCAAAAAGATTTCCTGACTTCAAAGCAATTCTTTCTTTTCTTTTGCTAATAGCTCCCTGGCCCCACCCTTCATCCTATAAAAGCATTCCATTTTGTCCAAGCCATCAAGTGCCCTTCTAGTGGCTAGACGAAATACTGCACTATTCATGAATCTTTTAATAGAGCCAACTAGATTTTTAAGTTTACTGGGCTGAGTGTTGTTTTTAACAGCATGTAAATCTTGGTATTTTAGACGGAAAGACCAGACTTCTAAGAAAAATAGGGTTGGAAATCACAACATAATCCCTTTATAAAAATGTGTTTAATTTTTAAATAAATAGACTATAGAAAGGATAAAACTGGGAGCATCTGAGAAAAATATTGACACATAAAATCTCTGTGACATTTTCTGTCAAAGGCAATCTGGAAAAGACATATGGAGTGGTGGCAGATGCTATGTAATCAAAAAGAAAAAAAAACAAAGTCTTTATCTACATATTTCAGAGGCATTATGAAGGGTAGAGCACATACATTTCAGGAGAGACAGAAGAGAGAAGTGAGGTCCTGATGGCTGAGAATCCCCCAAATGGTAGTCACTTAAATCCAAAATGTACTTATTGAATGCTGGACAAACTCTCACTATTGGCTTACATATATAGAAACAACTTTGTGTGTTCTCTGCGAGCCAGAAAATAATTAAATATCAGTTATGATGTAATCATTTTCATGGCTTTCTCATTTTCTTAAAGTTATAGCTTCTTTCTTATACTCTTGTTATTTTTTTACATTTGTCATCCATTTTAAATTATGTTATAAGAATGAATATTAATGATTTCATTTAATAACTATTTATAGAGTCTTTAGTCTGTGAAAGTTAACATACCAGGTTCAAGCGCTCTATGAGATAGAAAATTCCTCAAAGAAAAAGATGCAGTATAGGTAAAAATAGCAGGTGGTTAGTTCAGCCAAATTTGTATCTTAGTTTGTGCTTCACTTAAAATTTAACTGTGCTCTACTCAGAGTAGATACTTTAAAAGACTTGTTGACTGAGTGAATGAATGGTTCAAACTTATTTATACACATTTTGCCACATTCTCATTAAAAGAACTAGCATGCAACATTTTGGGTTTGGCCACAGTGAAATTTTGACTTGTGTTAGTCTTATACATAAGATCAATACATAAGTACCTGAAATTTATTCTTTCCAATGAAGAAAAAATTATTCTTGCTATTTTGGTTTCTGCAACTTTAAATTGAACAAACCAGCAAGAAATTTGATTCATACCGTTGGTGGCAAAAACAGTATCAGAATGTTACTGGCAATTTGACCTCTAGGTAGCAAACCTTGGTATTTGAGCTCCAGCTCAGAAAAAATTCAGAGCCAAGAATCAAATACAAGCAAAAGTTTATTAAGAAAGTCACAGAGGTAGGCCTGGCCAGCATGGCTCAGTGGTTGGGTATTGACCCATGAACCAGGAGGTCACGATTTGATTCCTGGTCAGGGCACATGAACAGGTTGCTACTGAATCCCTGGCAGGGGGTGTGTAGGAGGTAGTGGATTGATGATTCTGTCTTATCATTGATGTTTCTAACTCTCTCCCCTTCTCCCTTCTTTACTCTCAAAAAAAAAAAAATTTTTTTTTTAAAATAAAAGAAAGTCACAGAGGTAGAAGAAGCAAGGCATGGAAATGAGACAGAACAGTAAGCCAGGACAGCTGAAATAGAGAAACAGATAGATAGCTAACCAAAATGACAGAACAATTACAGCAGATACGAAGGTCACCGCCTTAGAAATAACATCTAGGCCTCAGTTGAATTTCAGCTACAGACACAGAAAAGCAGCAAAACCAGGTGGGCTATACCAGGACCAGCTGCAATGACTATGGACCCCCTGCCCTGACCCTGACCAAGACCCTGAAGGAGCCCAGCAGTGTGTGGGCTTCCCTGTGGGTGCCCAGCATGTCTATCCAGTGGTGTGTCGATCTCCCCACCCCCACTTCTTCTATGCTAAGCCTTTCCTTGTTTAACTGTCCCGAGCTTTAATAAACATTCCCTCATTGTCACTTGGACTTTTGTTGTGAACTTTTTCCTTCATGAAGTCGTGAACCCACACACTACTGGCTGGTCCTAGCAGACCCGCCAAGGGGCAGGTTCCCTTTCTGGTCACAAAAGAAGTGAGCCAGCTGGGCTGTGTGAGCTCAGGGAATAAGTTACAGAGGCAAAAGTAAGGCCCTTAGAGCTTAGGAGAAAGAGAAGAGGCAAGGAAAATACCCTGGGGGAAGGGAAGAGGGAAGGGAATGGGCATGTTCCATGTGCTCCATAGAGACAGCTACACTGGATCCTCTGTCTTGAGGATATTTACCTGAAAGTCTCAGGGGAGGATCCCAATAAAATATTCATCAACTTTCCAGATGTGTTCTTTTGGGTCATAGTCTCTATTGATTGGTTCGCAGCAGGAGAGGGGGTCACTAGCCATTGCAGATGGTTCTAATGTCAGCCATGGCATCAACTTGTTTGATTTTACTGCTTTTCTGGGCCTGGAGCTGATATATCACTGAGGCCGACCAGCAATATGCTGGGGGAGGAAAGGTTGCCCTGGAAACAAGGTCCTTGTCTTCCCAGTTTTGCCTGTTGGGCACTCGGAGCTTTCAGCCCCGGTGACCTATAACTGGCCCATCGTTCTTGCTCTTCGCAAGTCTGTCAAGCTGCCTACCACAATACTATGGCTTATTCTGAATATTCGTATTACAAATTTAAGGGTTTTTTTAAATAAAGCAATAAAATAATTTAGTGTGGTATTAGATTCTTAAAACTAACATTTTGTATAAAAAAACTAACTGATGATGCTTTAAAATATTTTTACAGGGAAAGATAAGGTATTTTATAGATTAAAATATTTTAAAAGATAAAGACAATTGTACTTTATTAATAGCACTCTGAGCATGTTTTTTGTTGAAGAATTATACACCCAAGAATTACATATTCAAGTCTCAGAATCCTTAAATGATAATCACTATATATATCTACTGATAGATGATAGATAGATGCCGATAGGTATGTTTTCATATTTAAAATATTGTATTTATGGGTTAAATATCTTTTTTGTTAAATACCTTTTTGTTGTTGTTATTAATCCTCACCCAAGGATATTTTCCCATTGATTTTTAGGGAGAGTGAAAGAGAGAGGGGAGAGACAGAGAGAAACATCTATGTGAGAGAGACACATTGATTGGTTGCTTCCTGCATACACCAGTCACTATATATATCTACTGATAGATGATAGATAGGTAGATCCCAATAGGTATGTTTTGATATTTAAAATATTGTATTTATGGGTTAAATATCTTTTTTGTTAAATATCTTTTTGTTGTTGTTATTAATCCTCACCCAAGGATATTTTCCCATTGATTTTTAGGGAGAGTGAAAGAGAGAGGGGAGAGACAGAGAGAAACATCTATGTGAGAGAGACACATTGATTGGTTGCTTCCTGCATACACCCGAGGCCAGAGGTTTTCCTGCATACACCAGGGCCAGAGGTTGAGCCTGCAAACAAGGTATGTGCCTTTGAATAGAATTGAACCCAGGACCCTCCAGCAGATGCTCTATTTACTGAACCAAACCAGCTAAGGCTGAGTTAAATATCTTAGAACTGTAAAATATTCTGTGTATCAACTTGACCAATTATTTTCCATGCCTCTCCACACTTTTATTTAGAAACCCCATGCTCAGATAAATATGCTTTTATTGTATTCCTTCTGATCTTTGGATTCTGCAGTAGACAAAAATTATTGTAATGTACCAAGTTATAAAAATATATTTAAAAATGCTTTTCTTTTGATAAATATGTCATAGATAATTCACAGTGAATCCCCATACTCAGAACACACACGACAGATGAAATATTATTTGTACATGTTTAAAAAGACATACCCACGCTTATGAGCTGAGTATCTTTATCTGAGGAGCAGAAATAAAATGACCTTTCAGAAGATCAACTGGAAGAGGAAGCGTATAGGGCTGCTCTACTGGAAATGATTCTTAGCATCTTTTATTTAATTCCTACAAGAAGCAGCTCTAACAATATTCCACTCACTGTGAGGGAACAGAGCCCTAGGTCTGCAAATGGAGGCTGCAGATAGCTTTGTCTAGGGTTAGGATCTGTAGCTTACAATGAAAAATATCTCTGGAGGGTCAAGGAAGGACCATGAATATCCCTCCACCAAGAACTGACTCTGGAAATGGATTGGTTACATCTTTTTTTTTCATCCTCACCCAAGGACATGTTCATTGATTTTGGAGAGAGAGGAAGGGAGAAAGAGAAAGAGAGAGACAGAGAAACATCCACATGAGAGAGAAATATCAATCAGTTGCTTCCTATACATGCCTCAACCAGGGGACGACCTGAAACCTAGGTATGTGCCCTGACCCGGGATCGGACCTGTGACCTTTCTGGTGTATGGGACAATGTTCCAACCAACTGAGTGGCCCACACTGGCCAGCGCAGTTTGAGCAGTTTTAAAAAAAACATTTTGTATTGAAATTTTTTAGAGAGAGAGGAAGGGAGAGGTAGAGAAAGACAGAAACATCAATGGTGAGAGAGAATCATTGATTGGCTGCCTTCTGCACACCCCCTACTGGGGATTGAGCCCACAAACCTGGCTTCTTGGATATGGAAAAAGAACACATTAGTAATCTCAGCAACAAGAAAATACAGTTACTCAAAGATAGATCCCTCATTTGCAGAAGGAATATTTGGCTATTTCAAAATTGAACAGGTGCAGATTATTTTGTCCTAAAAGAGTCTGGGTTTTCACAGGGTTATTACCTACTAATTGATCTCTGGTTAGGATCAATCTCAACAAAGCCTTGAAGCTTCCTGGTAGGAAAAAAAAAGAGCATTAAAATTAGATGGCAGTTTGCTGAGTAAATGAAGTATCTTCCCCCTCATCCACTCTAACAGTCCCAGACCTACCAATGTTTGGAAAAGCCTGAATTGGTATGACTTCTCTGTGAGGAACAGAGCTAGCAGGAAAAAAGCGCAGCATATATGTCACGCATTTAAGCCAATGTCGAGTAAAATGCCTATGCCTTAGAGCCTTTAATACCTACGGTCCCTACTGTCATCTACTTGAAATAGCCAAGAATCATAGCCTTCTACCCAGCTCTGACCATCTATTATCACTTGCAGGGTCCTCCAGGTTAAATGGGCCACTACTATTTCATCTAGGAAAAAAGAAAAAGTCATCTCTCAACTGGCCATTGACGTACACTTTTTACATTGAAGAATGTAGTTATTGCAACAGCTGAACTGGCTACCGAACATTTGTTAAAGCATTTTATGCATACATGACTCTACTTAATGCTAAGCAAGAAGAAACATGTAGGTGCAGCCCATGTAGGCCCTCAGGGCGTGGGTTGTGTGCCATGTTGGAAATGTTCGTGAGCCAAGAAGCTGTCAGCACCACGCTTGCCGGTGCCAAGAGAGGTCTGAGCAGACTGCTCAGCGTTGGCACTCTTCCTTCCCCGACAGAAATACTGATGATGGGATGGACACCACGGCTGTTGTCCTGGTCCCTGTCAGAACAAGAAATCACAAGTAGGTTTGCTTGAAACAGCCCTTCAGTATCTACGAGGAAACAAACACAAACTATTCTTAGCTGGTGTGAGGGAGCGGGGGATCAGAGGCAGGCTGAAGCTAAGGATAGCAGACACAGTGCTTTACCTTCTACAGCGAGTATTCTTTCTAATAGTAAGTACAATTAATGGGAATTTAAGAAGAAGTTCAGCTTTTACCCAATTCCCCAAATTATATGTTCCATTCTACCATTAAGTTGTTTTTTTTTTCCCCCATAGCTTCCCAGAGCAAATATAAAGTCAGCTAACTCTGGGATTTATGCAAGTAGTCAGTGTGTATAGCCAATGCAGAAAAAACAAACAACCCCCAAACATGTGAGTAGAGAATAATTCAGGCACCCATCAAGTCTGACCCAATCTGTTGTCATATTAGAATTGACAACATTCTGTCAAACAGGCATTCAGCAACAAGAACATTATAAATAATTATTCAGCAATCAATCAATTATAAAGTTGTTACTGAATGTAATTGCTATTAATTTTAATATGATTTAATTTATACATATTACAAGGATATATTAATATTTTGCAATGTGTTTTCCTTATTAAGACTGTGGATTAGATAATATTTATTTGCTTGCAAATTAACAACAAAATAAAACTCTATTATAGGGAACACAGATCATGATATTGGTTTTTCTTCCTGTATCTTCAGGTGACTGAGATTCTGTGTGAAGCTCTGAGAGTCCAAATGCTATGCGTTTTTATCATGTACTGTAGAGTAAACCGTAAAAACATTGTTTTTTTAGAGAACATCAATAAATTTAGTACATACATGACTGAAAACTCATAAAGCCTAGCGGGAAGTGAAAAAAAGAGAGGAAGAAATGGTTTATTAAATTATTTGAGAACCTGTATTTACATTTATTTGCCTTTAGACAAAGTTGGCTGAGGAATTGCCAGCTTGATACCTGTATCTTCTGTATATGTAACGGCCCCTAAGGCAGGGGTGGGCAAACGTTTTGACTCGAGGGCCACAATGGGTTCTTAAACTGGACCGGAGGGCCGGAACAAAAGCATGGATGGAGTGTTTGTGTGAACTAATATAAATTCAAAGGAAACATCATTACATAAAAGGGTACGGTCTCTTTTTTTTAGTTTTATTCATTTCAAACGGGCCACATTTGGCCCCCGGGTCGTAGTTTGCCCACGGCTGCAAGGCAAAGGGCACTTCATTCCAGGTGGACCTTGAATGATAATTGATGAATGAGAGATCAAACTTTACCTGACCTTGCCAGATAGGGGCTGAGAACAAAGTATGGTTAGCAAGTTTCCTAGAGATTGTATTAAAATACACACAGAAAAACCCTCTAAGAATGAAAATTCCCATTTAAACACTACCCAGATACTGATAATACCTCTCAATTCATTGAGAAAGAAGCCTATCACTCACACTGAATTCTGATGGTCTTGAAGTATATGTGCGGGGGCGGTGCGGGGGGCTTCCCGTTGGGTCAGTGTGTATATGGGTTGGCCTTATGAAACTGTCACAAATACTCCCATTGAAAATCAAGATTCCATGACCATCAACTTTTGATAGTATGTTTTTTTCTCTAGCATCTCTCATATTCTGAAATAATACATAATTTTTAATTTGAGAGTAATCAAAAGAAATTCTGAATTAAATGTAGACTCAGGTTCAAGCCTTAGATTTCCCATTTGCCACCTGTGTAACCTTTTATCTTTCTTTGAACCTTGTTTTTCCGTTTACAAAATAATGTTACTCTGTAATAGATGATCCAACTATCTTCTTGAACTGAAATCCATGATTCTGTGATTCTTGGTTTCTAAGTTCT